CGTGAGATACCCACTACACACACACACACACACACACACACACACACACACACACACACACACACAGCAAGGCCCAGCCCCCACCACAGAACAGGGCCCAGCTCCTCCAGTAGGGGACAGCAGGGATACACACATACACACAGACACACACACTTTCTGCAGCAGGGGATGCTTTCCCTTGTACCCCCCAAATATCCCATTAATCACCAGCTGCTGCCCCTGAGGTTCAGCCCCCCAGCACAGCGACGCTGCTGCCCCTGAGGTTCAGCCCCCCAGCCCCCCACCACAGAACAGGGCCCAGCTCCTCCAGTAGGGGACAGCAGGGATACACACATACACACAGACACACACACTTTCTGCAGCAGGGGATGCTTTCCCTTGTACCCCCCAAATATCCCATTAATCACCAGCTGCTGCCCCTGAGGTTCAGCCCCCCAGCACAGCGACGCTGCTGCCCCTGAGGTTCAGCCCCCCAGCACAGTGACCCCCCCAGGCCCATAGGCTGTGGGTGACTCTAACACAAGATGAGTGTGCTTTATCCAAGTCCCACTCCTCCCCTCCCCGCCCCGTGACAAGGGACCTCTAAGGAAGGGGACCCCACAGCCATCTCTGAAGGGCCAGCTTTCCTAGCCTGCTGTGAGGTGGAGTGTGGGGCCCGGGAGTCAGGAGTCCTGGGTTTCAGCCCCAGCGCTGGGAGGGCGGGGGGCTCTAAAGGGCTGGGGGTCAGGGACGTGCTGCATTGTTTTTAAGAGTAGTAGCCTCAAAGCAGCACTGCACTGGAACGGCTCTCCCAGGACTGGGAGCCAGCTCTGGGGTGGGGCGGCCGGGAAGCAGCCCCTCGTAGCCATTCGGTGCTTTCCTTTCTGACTAGCGAGAGCCTTCCCCTGCTTCCCCCCGCCGCTGGGCTAGCATGCGCCTGGCACGAGGAAGGAGGGATGTAATTGGCAGCTCTTCCTGCAGTAGAATCAGCAATAAAAGTTCTTTACAGGCTATTAACTGCAGCAGGGCCCGGCCAAATAGCAAGTCTGTAAACAGCTTTCAGCTCGAAAGCACTGGAGCGTTCGGCCCCAGCCGCTCAGAGGAAACTGACGCGGTTGCAGCAGCAGGAAAAGAAATAAATTGATCTATGAGCATTTTCCAGGCCCGGTATTTAGCTGAGTATTCTGTGCATCCTCTGTGAGGGGTTGCAGTGTCCCAGGGCAGCACTAGGAGGCATTATGCTATAGGGGGCAGAGTGGGGGGGGGTCTTAATTGGGGCTCAGGGCTGAGCCCAATGTCCCAGGGCAGCCTTAGGGGGCGCTGTGCTGCAGGGAGTGGGGTGGGTTGGTCAGGGCAGGGCCCAATGCCCCAGGGCGGCCCTCGGGGGCGTTGGGCTGCAGGGAGTGGGGTGGGGGCTCTTCCCTGGCATTAGAGGATGGCCCCAATGCCCCAGCACAGTGCAAGCTTGCTGGGTTTAGAGCAGGGGAGGCTGGGAGTCAGGGTTTCTGGGTCCTCCTCTACTCTGTCTTTCCCAACTTCAGATGCCCCAGGGCGGCCCTAGGGGGCGCTGTGCTGCAGGGAGTGGGGTGGGTTGGTCAGGGCAGGGCCCAATGCCCCAGGGCGGCCCTAGGGGGCGCTGTGCTGCAGGGAGTGGGGTGGGTTGGTCAGGGCAGGGCCCAATGCCCCAGGGCGGCCCTAGGGGGCGCTGTGCTGCAGGGAGTGGGGTGGGTTGGTCAGGGCAGGGCCCAATGCCCCAGGGCGGCCCTAGGGGGCGCTGTGCTGCAGGGAGTGGGGTGGGTTGGTCAGGGCAGGGCCCAATGCCCCAGGGCGGCCCTAGGGGGCGCTGTGCTGCAGGGAGTGGGGTGGGTTGGTCAGGGCAGGGCCCAATGCCCCAGGGCGGCCCTAGGGGGCGCTGTGCTGGAGGGGGTGGGGTGGGTTGGTCAGGGCAGGGCCCAATGCCCCAGGGCGGCCCTCGGGGGCGTTGGGCTGCAGGGAGTGGGGTGGGGGCTCTTCCCTGGCATTAGAGGATGGCCCCAATGCCCCAGCACAGTGCAAGCTTGCTGGGTTTAGAGCAGGGGAGGCTGGGAGTCAGGGTTTCTGGGTCCTCCTCTACTCTGTCTTTCCCAACTTCAGCCTCGATTTCCTGGTCTGGTGTGGGTGTGACTTATTGGCTGTAGGGGGCAGAGCACTTTGGGAAGCAGAGCTCCAGCCACACTTGCACTGGGATGCGTTGACGGACTCCGAGATGCAGCCAGCACTGGGGTGAAGCCCTTGGAGAAGCATTGCATATAACAGTGTGCAGGATGGCTCACCTGGTGCTGAGATGCAGCCAACTCTGGGGAGGGGCAGCTGGGGAACAGCTGCACATAACGCCGCATGGGGATGACTCACCCCTTGCAGAGATGGGGGTTTTCTGTAGCATCTGGGGGTTTCCTGTAGCATCGCCTCAGAGAGAATGATTTGCTCTCTGGAGCTGGCGCTGCCTTCCTGTGTCTTTAGAGCCCTGTTATCTCTCCCAGCGGAAATAACACATAGTCACGGAAACAAATAGAGCAAAATGGATCGGATGGGGTGGGGAGGAGTTCGCCCATGAGGCTTTGTACCAGCCCTCCAAAGAACATACCCTGACAGCTGATGGGCTGACAGCAGAGGGGCTGGGAGCCAGGACTCTTGGGTTCTCGCCTCGGCTCAGTGTAGGCAAAGCTGCCCTGCTCGCAATGGGGCAGAAAATGCCTGTAGCACACACAAATGTTTCACTGCGTGGCTCTTCATTAACAAGGAGCCAGCTGCTTTTAAGAGTCCCCAAGAAATACACCTAGCTCTGCGCCAGAGCAGCCAGGGAGCCACCCCTGGTGGGGCAGTGCAGGGAACAGCCACACATAACACTGCCTGAGGAGTGGGGAGAGCAGGGCGTGCCCAGACCTGAGATACAGCCACCTCTGGGGTGGGGCAGTGCAGGGAACAGCCACACATAACACTGCCTGAGGAGTGGGGAGAGCAGGGCGTGCCCAGACCTGAGATACAGCCACCTCTGGGGTGGGGCAGTGCAGGGAACAGCCACACATAACACTGCCTGAGGAGTGGGGAGAGCAGGGCGTGCCCAGACCTGAGATACAGCCACCTCTGGGGTGGGGCAGTGCAGGGAACAGCCACACATAACACTGCCTGGGGAGTGGGGAGAGCAGGGCGTGCCCAGACCTGAGATGCAGCCACCTCTGGGGTGGAGCAACTGGGGAGCCATTCATACAGGGATCAATGTGCAGCAGCTGCCTGGGAAGTGGGGGGAAATCACCTCTCAGAATGGGGTAAGTCCCATGTACTGGGGCAGGGTGGGGGGCTCTGTCTGTGTCCCACTTTGGGGTCTCCGTGGGGACGATCCCATTCTGCGTCCACCTTGGTGTCTGTTCTGCCCCCTTCAATCATTTCCCCTGGGAATGGGGCGTGAGGCAGAGGGGCCCGAGGGGCAGGGCAGCCCCCGGAACCTCCATAGTCTTTTATGGCTTTATGGCCCAGATGCGTAGCCCGGACATGAGGCTGCCCTGGCTGAGCAATTCTTTCTGGGCAATTTCATCCCACCTGGGAGCAGGAAGATCCACGCCCCCAGCGACCACGGGCACAGCAGCTTGTCACGTCCCCGGGGCCAGGCCAGGCGGGAGTGCAGGTGTGGGCAGCAGAGACAGAGAGAGGTAAGAGTAAGGGGACGTGGAGATGGGGCAGGGATGGCGGAGGACGTAGGGGATGCAGCTGTGGGGCAGGGATGGGGTGGATCTAGGGGACGCATCTGTGGGGCAGCGTTGGGTGTGGATCTAGGGGACGCATCTGTTGGACAGGGATGGGGGTGAATCTAGGGGATGCATCTGTGGGGCAGGGATGGGGTGGAACTAGGGGACTCAGCCATGGGGAAGGGACAGAGTGGATTCAGGAAACATGGCAGTGGGGCTGGGAGTGGATCTAGGGGATGCAGCTATGGGGCAGGGACAGGGTGGATGCAGAGAACATGGCTGTGGGGCAGGGATGGAGGGGGAATCTAGGGAATCCATCCATGGGGCAGGGATGGGGTGGATCTAGGGGACGCAGTCTTGGGGCAGGGATGGGGTGGATCTAGGGGACGCATCTGTGGGGCAGCGTTGGGTGTGGATCTAGAGGTGGATCTAGAGGTTGCAGCTGTGGGGCAGGGATGGGGGGTGGATTTAAGGGACACAGCCATGGGGCAGGGATGGGGGTGGATCTAGGGGACGCAGTCTTGGGGCAGGGATGGGGTGGATCTAGGGGATGCATCTTGGGGCAGGGATGGGGTGGAATATAGGGGATGCATCTTGGGGCAGGGACGGGGTGGATCTAGGGGATGCAGC